TGAGCGTGGTGCTTCCCGGAGACCCGGATGCTCGGCCTGGGACGCTGAGCGTGGTGCTTCCCGGAGACCCGGATGCTCGGTCTGGACGCTGACCGAGGTCTGCGGGCTGACCGGGCGGTTCGCCTGCAGAGGGAGGTTTCCGATTGGCAGGCGGCTCCGCGTCGCAGGCACGTGGGGCAGGCTGGGCGCGGAAAGGCGCCTCCGAGCCTTGCCGGGAATCCTGTGCAGGTGACCCAGCCAGGATGCCCTCCCGGGGTCTCGGGTCCGCTGCTGCCCCCGAAGGGCCGATCGGAGCCTGGGTGGCTACGGATGACATCGACGGGGTGGGAACATGTGTTAGTCCCGTGTCTGTGCTCTCTATCCCCCGCTGCCTGGGTGTTTTTGGGGGGAGTTGTTTGTTTCCTTTTTGCCAGAAGAAGCGGAGATGTCTTGCTAACCCGACAAGAGTCCTGAATTCCGAGTGACTTGTATGTGGGCAGCTCCGGTTCGCTTTATGAATTCGGGAGTCCGGGTTTATTGTCCCAGGAAACCGCCGGCCCCGCCCCCTTTTCACCCAAGTTGCTGGCTCAGCACACTTAGCCGTGCTTTTGGTGATCCTATGGAAAACAGTTCTTTATCTCTGGGCCGCTGAACGTATGTTTCTGTGTCATCAGATAGTTAACTCTCTGCTTAAAGTTTTCGGGACAGATTGCCACTAATTCCCTTATAGTGTTTGTTTAGATTCCCGAGCAGAGCTGGGCTTGGTGGCGCACACCTGTAATCCCAGCATTCGGGAGGCTGAGGCAGGAGGATCATTGTGAGTTCCAGACCATCCTGGGCTACAAAGTGAGCTCAAGGCCAGCCTGAACTGCATAGTGAGACCCTGTCTCAAAAAGACATAAAATAAAATGCACTGTTTTTTGTTTTGTTTTGTTTTTTCCGGTACCGGGAATCGAACTCAGGACATTGCACTTGCCAGGCAGGCGCTGTGCCGCTGAGCTAAATCCCCAGCCTCCACTGTTGTTTTTTAGCAACATGTGGTCAGTTAATATTATTTTCGTTTTAGAGACTTAGTTACATTTTCATTCTAATCTTTGTTTTGTTTTTTGAGACAGGGTCTCACTATCTAGTTCAGGCTGGTCTTGAATTCACTGTATAGCCCAGGCTGCCCTTAAACTCGAAGTAATCCTCCTGCCTCAGCCTCCCAAGGACTGGGATTACAGGTGTGCTCCACCATACCCAGCTCTCGTTACTTTTTTAAAGTTTAAAAAAAAAATTTTGAGCTTTGCATGGTGACACATGCTGTAGTGCAGAGTCCTGCGAAGCTGAGACAGAAGAATTACAGGTTCAAGCCCAGTTTGGGGCCACTTAGCAAGACCCTGTCTCCAAACTGAAACATTTCTAAAGGGCTGAGCATGTAGTTCAGTGCGAAGGTCCTGGGGTTCGGTCCCCAGTGCCGAGGAGCGGGAGAAGACATGTTTTGAGACTGTCTAGCCCAGGCTGGCTCACACCTCGCAGTCCTGAGTGCGGGGATGACAAGCATACCCAGCTAAATTCTAAATTTTTACTTGCAAAGTACAGAGAACATGTATCACCTTCATTATATGTAAGTGTACGTGCAGTTCACTTGTTAAGTGCTTTCATATTGTTGTGCAGCCGTCACCACTGTCCTCTCCAGAACTCTGCAAAACTGAAATCCTGTACTCATTAGCTGCAGCTGTTTCCTCACCTCTTACAACCACAATGCCATCTTTATCAATTTTGTGTATTTGTTTTCTTTTTTTGGCACCAGCAATCAAACTCAGGACCTCGAACTTGCCAGGCAGGTGCTGTGCCACTGAGCTGTGTCCCCAGCTATCAATTATTTATTTATTTATTTATTTATTGTCTTTTGAGACAGAGTCTTGCTTAGAGTTCAGCCTGGCCTTGAGCTCACTTTGTGGCCCAGGCTGGTCTCAAACTCACAACAATCCTCCTGCGTCAGCCTCCTGAGTGCTGGGATTACAGGTGTGCGCCACCAAGGCTGGACCAGCTATCATTTTTGACTGTACTGTGCATACTTTATATAAATGGAATCTACACTGTTTGTGACTGCTTATTTTTTTATTTTAGGAAATTTGTTAAATGCTATTATTTCACTGGGCGTGGTGGCGCACGCTTGTAATCCCAGCACTGGGGAGGCTGAGGCAGGAGGATCCTTGGGAGTTTGAGAGCAGCCTGGGCTACAAAGTGAGCAAAAGGCCAGCCTGAGCTGCATAGCGAGACCCTGTCTCAAAAAGACCAAAAAAATATATAAATAAATAAATACATGCTATTATTTGAATTTTTATTGTTAATCTAATTGCTTTTAATGCCAGAACTTGACTTCTTAAATATTTTACTTTATTTATCTTTCATTAGGTTTCTGATCAGAAACCCTTGGGGAGCTGGTCAGTGAAACAAGGTCAAATTATAACATGTCCAGCTGTGTGCAACTTTCAAACTGGAGAGCATATTGTTGTACATGATGATAAGGTAAGTTGTAAAACCTGTACGTAATAATATATCCAACACAAGTCTGGTGTTATGATCATTATATGTAAATAGAGTTTGGCATACACTTTCTAACTTGTATGCTCTGATTTCAGGTTTTGAGAATATGGAACAATGAAGATGTAAACTTGGATAAAGTATTTAAAGCTACAGTAAGTCTTCATTTTTGTTTTTGTTTTTTGTTTTTGTTTTTAGTCTTTGCCTTTTTTTTTTCTTTCTTTTTTTTTGAGACAGGGTCTCACTATGCAGTTCAGGCTGGCCCTGAACTCCCTGTGTAGCCCAGGCTGTGCTTAAACTCACAGCCATCCACCTGCCTCAGCCTCCCAAGTGCTGTGATTATAGGCTTGTGCCACTATACCCAACATAAAGCTACAGTAAGTCTTTTTAGCTTATGCGTGCAATGGGATTGTTCATAGGATAGTGTATATTATCCTTTTTTTGCTACAGGGAATTGAACTCAGGACCTTGCGCTTGACAGGCAGGCACTATGCCACTAAGCTATATCCTGGCCCCTATATTATTTATCTTAATAGCTCTGGAAAAGTAAACTTAAGATTGTAATCAGTTGGGAGGGGTTCTTTTTTTCAGTATTGGGGATTAAACCTTGGGCCTTTGCACAGATCTCCGTCCCCAACCCTTTTTCAGTTTTTTATTTTGAGACAGGGTCTCAAAAGTCATTAAGTTGCCTGAGGTTGGGCTTGAATGTGATCCTCCTGTCTCAGCTTACCAAAATGCAGGAAGTTGAGGTGTGACACCAGGTTGGAATCGTTTTCCTTTCTAGTTACTGTACAGTATGTATTGGTAACATCTCAATTCATGCACTAATAGATTACAAAGCATGTGTGTTATTATTCCACGAGATTGATGATTTAAATAATTCATAAACAGTTAACTTATTTACAGTAATATCTCTTTCACGAACGCTTCTGTCTGCAAACAACTAAGTTAACAAAGAGATTCGGTTTGCAAACAATTCATGTTCAGCAGAATTTTGCTTCCTTGCACAAACACTGCATTGGATGACAAACACAACAGCAGCCATGTTCCCCACACAAATGTAAGTGCAGCCAGTTGCCCCAAATCATAAATTACGTTTGTAAACTGAGATGCCACCGTATTTCCATGAGTTTGGATATTTTGTAAGTGTCCTTCATGAGAACGAGTGAATTTGTCCCTTTTCTTAGAATAGGCTGAATGGATCCTCCAGGTCTGATTTATGTTGGTACCTGGAATCAAACTCACAACCTCAGGCTTGTCAGGCAGG